TTGGATTTTAATATAACTTTTGATTGAATTTTGTAATCAATTTTCTAATAAAACACAACAAATAGTGTTTTCCAATTTATGCATAATTTTCTAATGAAAGTTGATTTCAATTAAATTTAGTAGAAATCTATGAATGAAATCAACGCAATGAAGAGGCGTTTATCAAAACCCACATTTCATTTCACAGTTACGGATATTAATCCCATTTAACGCGCAAATGATTTTCACATAAGAATAACCAGTAATGGATCAGTTCATACCCTTCTCTCCTTTTCCATTGACATCAGTATACGTTTAAAGTATAATTTAATTTAATTTTCAAAATAAATGATTAGACGATAAATACAAATACAAAATAATGCCTAAGAATTGATGCCAAAAATGTCCGCATGAATTGACAATAAGATGATAACCTGATGTAATAGACTGTGCGCTCAGGACTTCCATATCTTAAGCAAACCGTCTTCGCTATAAGTGGCGATCAGATTCTGGTGCGGATGATGTGTGAGTCCAATGACATCCTTCTCGTGAACGGGCAGTACTTTCTCCAGTTTTGTTGTGTTGGCGTTGAAACAGTACAGACTGTTTGGATTTTAATATAACTTTTGATTGAATTTTGTAATCAATTTTCTAATAAAACACAACAAATAGTGTTTTCCAATTTATGCATAATTTTCTAATGAAAGTTGATTTCAATTAAATTTAGTAGAAATATAGAAATCTATGAATGAAATCAAAGCAATGAAGAGGCGTTTAACAAAACCCACATTTCATTTCACAGTTACGGATATTAATCGCATTAAACGCACAAATAATTTTCACATAAGAATAACCAGTAATGGATCAGTTCATACCCTTCTCTCCTTTTCCATTGACATCAGTATACGTTTAAAGTATAATTTAATTTAATTTTCAAAATATATGATTAGACGATAAATACAAATACAAAATAATGTCTAAGAATTGATGCCAAAAATGTCGGCATGAATTGGCAATGAGATGATAACCTGATGTAATAGACTGTGCGCTCAGGACTTCCATATCTTAAGCATTGGCAGAAGCGATATTCACCGCTAGTCTAAGACCACGCCTACTACACACTCAGGTTACTGTAGGAAGAGCACTTGCCCGTCATGAAAGAGGTCAAAACAACACAACCGCAACTTTGTCATGTCTGACTAATCGTCGGCCACGGCGTACACCCACTCCCCTCTGGGACTCACTCGACAGCACACGAAGTCTCCGCCTTCCACTTTGCCGTTCGTAAAGCTCTTCACAATCTGTTCCCAAAATATATTTATTCGTTAACATAACTATGTCTTGAGTTAAGCCCAGTTACTATAGGGTTACTGTATGGACAGGGCTGTATAAGTATTACGAATTACACAACGATGCCGACGTCTGGTCTTTCAAAAGCCCGCAAAAGCCGTTATTAACATAGCTTAACTGCCAGTCTAGCTGGGTTCCCGCGCCCACTATTGCCGTCGATTTGAATGTATGCATACATTCGGTGGTCTTTAGACTCCATATCTAATGGCAAACAAAGAGGTAATAAAAATAATGTGAAGAGAAAGAAACAAGAAATGCAACAAAAAAATGATTACTTTAATAGATCCGTCAGAACTGGCGCTAATGATATGGTGTCCGTCATAGCTGTAGATGACTTCGTTGACAAAGGATGTGTGGCCTTTGAACTCCTTTAAAAGTTTACCGCTCTTTAAGCCGTGGATACGAATGGTTGCGTCAAAACTGGCGGACAGTATATGGGATGAGTCGCGGCTAAAGTGAGCGCAAGTGACACCTTTGGTGTGGGCCCTCTCGAAACGGCGCAAACACTGTCCGGTCTGTTCAATGATATCCCAATGACATACCTGTCCCGACATATTCATAATGCTTAATGTGTTGCTACGGCTGCAGACCAGAAAGTTTTCGGGCGTTTTCGGCAATAATTGTATCGAATTGACGGTCAGATCGACAGTTCCCGCGCCCACTATAGCCGTCGATTTGAATGTATGCATACATTCGGTGGTCTTTAGACTCCATATCTAATGGCAAACAAAGAGATAATAAAAATAATGTGAAGAGAAAGACACAAGAAATGCCAAAAATGCTTACTTTAATAGATCCGTCAGAACTGGCGCTAATGATATGGTGCCCGTCATAGCTGTAGATGACTTCGTTGACAAAGGATGTGTGGCCTTTGAACTCCTTTAAAAGTTTGCCGCTCTTCAGGCCGTGGATACGAATGGTTGCGTCAAAACTGGCGGACAGTATATGGGATGAGTCGCGGCTAAAGTGAGCGCAAGTGACACCTTTGGTGTGGGCCCTCTCGAAACGGCGCAAACACTGTCCGGTCTGTAGTTTCCAGACCTTAATCTTGCCGTCCTGTGAACCCGAGGCCAACATCTCTGAGTCACGGCTGAAGCACAAGCAGAGGACCGCGTCGTTCATTAGCATAAAGTTCTCCATCGCCTGATAGCGCAGGTCTTTACGTATTTTACCGGTTGTGAAGTTCCAGACCTCTATGAAGCCGTCCACCGAACCGGTGATCAGATATTGGCCGTCGGGCGAGAAGTGGGCGACTTCTACGTGCGATTTGGCCCCGAATTTGATTGTCTTGGAGAGAGTGCTGGGATGGGTCTCGTCCTCCTGCTCTTTGATGGAGGCTTTGCCGCGGAATAAGTCGATGGAAGTGCCCGGAGGGAGAAGACCCTGATGTTGTTGCCATTTCAACGCCTGACCCAAGAGGGCCAACAGCCGAGACGGCGGCACAACAGACACCTCACCGCTCAGACTCTGAGCGATCTGTTGCCGGCGTTTGTCTTTATTGGTGCCCTCGGGATAGGCTTCGGTGGCGTCGAAGTAACTCCTGGCCAACAGTGTCTCCAAATGTATGTATCGTTCGGGTGTTTCGGTCTTCAACTTAATCATGGGATCCGTTTGGCGGAGAAGACTGCGGGCGGCGCCCAACTCTCGCAACTCAATCAACTCAATGACAATCTGTTCGTAGAGATCCATCAGCTTCTTGTCGGGCAGTTTGAGCGACTGAACCACTTTCAAGACCACATCCCAGTGTCCGGAGTGGATGTCGTGAACGAAACTCTCCACTGAGTCCACGGTATTCAATGAGATGCACGTCTCGTCCTGTAGTGTCTGAAAAGTCTTCAGCAAATTATTTTCCTTCATATACTGTGCCATCAGTCGTATCACATCCGCGCTCTCGATCTCGATGGACATCTCTATGCCTTTAGTGTTGTCTTCAGTGGTCTATGTCTTCAACAAATATCACCGCAAAACAAATCGCCGACAAATGGACACAAATTGTGTGCAAAAAAAATATACAAACAATTCATTCATTCATATAAAACGTAAGACATGTTTGCCTTCAATACATGTTTTCGGCCCAAAGGGGGCGACACTTGTTGTCAAAAGTTTGGCTTAAGTTTGAATGTTAGAAATTCTGTTGGAAATACTACCATGGTTATTTATTAATTTTTTTACCTAGTACATTTTAGCATGATATCTCTATGTAGGAATAATGGATAGTGGTTACGTTTTGTGATTAAACTATCTAGGAAAAATTGACCGGTTAATAGCCCCCAATGAATTGATAGTAAATACTGGTCTACTAATGGCCTGAATAAAGCAAAATTAAAGTATTATTTAATATGCGATATAATATGTGCTAAAATTAGGTTTAAATTAAATGTTATAAATATATTGTAAATTATAGCTTATATTTGCGGTTCAATTGATTTCTCCATCACTTAAATGGGAAGTGAAATGAAGGGAGAGTTTACGAACCTTTCTTCTCCTAAAAGTATATATTAAACAAATTGATAGAAATTTAAATTAAATTATAAGTTATTTAATTGAGAATAACACTGAAAATACTTAATAATCATAATAATCACAGTAATAACACATGTGATAGAAAATCAATTTCTATGTGTATGTGATGTCTGAATTGCGAGGCATTTTTGCACACATATAGCTGTTTTAATAATACAAAACCACTGCCTCTCTCTCTCTCTCTCTCTCTCTCTCTCCCCTGTCCCTACCGGTCCCCTCAATACTCTCACTCTCTCCCACATAACTACTACTATTACTATACAAAAACTGGTGCCCAAAACCTACCGGTGCTCACCAATTGTCCCCTAAATCTATGTGTATATACAACACAAGGAGTTTTACTTCCGAATCGTGGCCCACAAAAAATTTTCAGCTCTCTCTCTCTCTCTCTCGCATTCACTCACTCTCTGGCCATTATTAACGCATGTATGTCAAGGGATATAGGGATGTACTGTATATACTGTACATATAATACATACACACAGGAGGGTATGTGACTGATGGTGGGATGACATCGATGATGATGGTTATGGAGCTTTTCAATGGTGTTTCCCCTACCAATCGCACCGTTACTACCGATTATTACACTTAGAAACTTATTGAATGGCAAAAAAACTTTTTGTATATTTCAATACTCAATGACAAGAGAGTTGGAGAGAGAGAAGGGGGTTATGAGAGGGGGTATAGTATAATGTATACATACTATGACAGAAACTATTTCCCGAATCGCACCCCCATTTGGTCTACATATTCGCCTGAATATCCCTTTTCCCTCCCCTCCTCCTCTACGCCAACTGTCCCCATACAACTCATTTGGGAAGCTTACGGTGCGAATAGTCTTTTCATGGTTAAAAACTCTTTTAACCCAGGATAAATTTAAACGGTGTAGGGAGAGAGATGTATTATACCCCAAAAGTATGTCGGATAGTGTACGGGACTATCTATTATCATGGTTTTTTGTGTGTATGTATTGATGGGGTACTTTGTTTGCTTGTGAATAACTGATCTTGAAGGGGGTTTTTTATTGTTAAATGTAAAGTACTGTGGTGGTTTTTGTAAATGGGGTACAGTCCTTATGATAATGGGGGCCCTTTAATACCATATGTATGGACCCTAACCTACAGTATGAGTGTATTATATGGGTATTAAATGGCCCCGATCATCACCGGTAACCTACTTACACTACTGGTGCTATTACTTGTGTGAACCCCTTTATTGTGAACAATCGTTTTTGGGGTAGACATGAAAATTAAGTGCACTTTTTTCAACATGATATAAATGTATGATTTATATGTCTAGAAAAAAGTTTAATGTTTGAATATTCCGGGTAATAGTGGGTTATTGTGTGAATCAATGAATAAGGGGGTATGTGTTTAATTGTGGGGGACTGGTGTATCTGTCCATGGTGTATTTGTTATATCTATTTATACCGGTTTGGTATAATAAATATGTGAATTGAGATTTTTTATGTCGGTGTCGATATGTGTCGGTTAATAATAGCATAAAGGTTTTAAATATATTATTATCCGGGGCGAATATGCATGGCTCAGATAATCATGATAGAGTGTGCAGCAAAAAAAGTGTCCATGCACCTTTTTTCCAATGTCTGTATTGTATAATATGTTATATTAAAGGGAAGGAAATCTATAGACAATAAAATTTACAAAAAACTTGAAAATCCGGTTTCAGATCTGATTTCCAATTCAGTTTCACTCGAGAAATGGTTTTTCATTATATATTATGTGAAGAAAATTTTGATTTCAAACACCGAAACAATAATATAACCAAAAAAATTGGTTTCAAATCTTATATAAAAAACTTTTTTTGCGAAAACTTTTTCAAGAGAGGAAATGGCGAACAATAGGGCAATAGTTTTTTGATCAAACAATTTATTAACCATGGTCTATTTGAGCCATATTAGCATCTATGTAGCAATAATAGTACCGTAGTTACATTACTAACAGTATATTTTCAAAAAATATCCTAGCGCAAAATTATTACTTATTTAAATTATAAACTAATTAATTAAAAACAAATCAAACATACAGTAACTAACCAAGCATATTACTTTTCTAATCAATCTAGTTGACGGGTGCGAACCTGGTGCACCGCCACCAACCGGCCAGTCCAATGGCCACCACCATTCGCACCATCACCACAACCAAAACACACACCACACACAACAACAACAACAACACCATAACCCGCACCACAACCCCCACCACAACAACAATCACGTGACAAATGGCGGTCAAACGGGTGGAAATACGGTCACCAGCAGTAGCGGGAATACCGGGCCGACGGTCGGGCCCACCACAACCCTACTGCAAAACATACTACAACAAAGCCGTGCGGGTGCGGGCACTACAGGCGGTGTGACTGTTAATGGCGTACAACAAACCGGTGGTAATATATACTCTATTCAGCGAACGGGCGGCGCAAATGGTAACAGTAATGGTGGCACCAATGGTGGACCCAATACTACGGCCGGCGCCACGACTACCACATCACCGCTGCCGCCATCGCCGGCCGACTCCGGCGTATCCGACGTGGACTCCCACTACTCGTCCAATGATGAGCAGCAGCAGCAACAACAGCAACAGATGGTTAATGGAGGGCCCAATGGCCACCATCCCGGCCCGTACGGCGCCTACTATTATCCCGGTGCTCAGCGACAGACATGTATGTAGTTTTTGTAATTTAGCTAGATTGTTATTTTTATGTATTTTATAGCTATTGTAATGTATATGCGATTTATTATAGCGTGTTTGGTATTAATTGTTAAGAAAGTGTTTTTTAACCTAGCACTTTTTTAAATATTGGTTTGTTTGTTTGTCTCGCCAGCGTTTAACATTAGCCATGTGTTAATTTCTAGCCTATAGATTAATCAGGGAACCTGGGTGTGGGTGGGGTGAGGGTCAATTGATCTTAAAACCTTATGGTGAAAATACAGAATTAGCATGTTAACAATATACATTTTGAGAGGCGGTACTCGATAGTGTTGTGCACTTTAAATAAATGGTCATGATTGATTTGCGCGGATATTATTTGACCCAGTGTGACATATAAAAAATATACACCGGGGTATTTTAGGTAATGTGTCCAAATGACCATTGTTCATTGCGTATTCTGTGACCAACATATGGTATATAAATATCTAGATATGTATGCGTTTATATACTGTATTTGTGCCCATATTTTAGTAACATGTAGAAAAATATATTTTTTTGGGTCAACAATAATAATAAACAACAACACACCGGCGCTATCGGGATAGTGATAAACACCTACACAATTGTAGATGGGTAACAGTGCACATGCCGTAAACAAAACTGACCTAGTAACAAAAAAATAAGTGTACATCGCGTTTACCCCCACACTCTCCCACATCGGATGTGTGTGCAAATGTGATAAACACCATGATGTCTTAGATTTTTACATAGTTTTGTTTATTTTCGCCACGGTGAACATTGGAGAAATGCCCCTTGCCCATTTTTTGTGCCCAAATGACATCGGTGACAAAAAACATAATACAATGCTCTCTCTCTCTCTCTCTCTCTCTCTCACTCTCTC